GACAGAGGTAGATGGTGGATTACTCCGTACCAGTCTTTTGCAAAAGATAGTGATTGTACTGTGAATCATCCTCATGAACCATACACTGTGTATTTGGGTATGTGTCCATTATTCATTGACTAGACACAGAGTAATTATTAATATTAGCTGATATGAGTGGTACTCACATAATAAAATGATCGGACGACCCGTGCTGTACAATGCCCAATGTATTTTTATTTTACAGAAACCTGCATTTCTATGTAACCGACGCGTAGATATGGATTATAAAACAGCAGAACAAATGCGTCCTTACGGCTAAATAGGAATCTATGCATATTAGTTTATTGTCATTGAAAATATTCATCGTTTAAAAATAAAAATGGCTGAACAAATCCTAGTTTATCTTCACATTTTTATCTTCACATTTATGATGAATGTATGAGACAAGGTAGTTATTAAACAAGCATATTTGTTTATTTTATAATATAACTTGTGTATAGTGACAATAGCTGATGGCCATGCGTTTTTTTTCATCTGAATTCTTTAACAGCGTTGCATTATTCATGCCACTGAACATGTAAAACCATCAAGTTTGTAGAAAGTGGAATTGATAGTGATAAATGTTGGATTCCTGTCCACCATTCTATTACAAAAGATAGTGAATACATATCTTATGCGTCCAGTTTCAATCCGCTTAGTGTGCGATTTTTTAGAGACACCAACAAGACAAATTCATGGATTAAAAAGCAAAAGCAAGTTATTTGAAAAGACAGTGAATCAGTATGATAAAGTATACGCCGTGTTTTAGACAACGTGTCGTGGTTATGTTTTTATCATCAACGCTTTAATGAGAGAGTTTGCAATCGAATATCATTGTATTTTCATAGCTGATTTTAATATCTTAATAAAATGATGGCAGAACAGATACCAGTTGATCCGCACATTTTGAGAAACTCAAATTTGAGAAAATTGATAAACGTGTCTTGATTTTGTATATTTGATATACACTTTCAATACGCGGATGATATATACATAGACATAAAATTTGCCATTTCATGAGAGATACATTATCACTCAATGATTGATGGGAAGATAATCATGGATAAAAAAATAATTAACAAGCCATGCATGGCAGAGTAC